GTTAATAGGGGAAAAAGGAGGACCTATGTAATCCTTTCAACAATAAAGATTAAAAGAAAAAAAATTGGTAATTCCACTGCTAAGTTTATCTTAATGAAGTTATTACAGATGTGTGCCAAAATTCAGCTACCAATATGTCTGTCATGGAATTGCTTATGATAGCAAGAAATGGGAAACAATATAAACATTCAGAAACAAAGTATTCGTTCATAAATTAGGATATATCCATATATTTAAATATCTTTGCTATGTAATATAATGTTGTTGTTGTTATTTTTAAATATTTTTTATTGATTTTTTACAGAGAGGAAGGAAGAGGGATAGAGAGTTAGAAACATCGATCAGCTGCCTCCTGTACACTCCCCACTGGGGATGTGCCCACAACCAAGGTACATGCCCTTGACTGGAATTGAACCTGGGACTCTTTAGTCCGGAGGCCGACGCTCTATCCACTGAGCCAAACCAGTTAGGGCTGTAATGATTTTATTAACAGAGAAAGAGATGCATCATTTATTATTCACAAGAAAGGAACATAACTTGATATAAATATTTTGTCTTATGAGAGAAAATATGCCAAGCGATGAACAAAGCAATCTCTGAGGGAGTACAATTATGGCAGAACTTTCATTTCCACCTGATTTCTTCTGTGTTGAAAACAAAACTAACCAACTTAAATTTTAATTCAGGTGAAAAATTCACAGAGCCAGCCAGAAAGAACAGGACTTGACTATCACAATACTTTAGATACAAAGAGAAGGCAACAACCCCGTGTCCCACATCCACAGAGTCTGGGAACCTGAGCTCTCAAGCCCCTGTTGCTCACCCATTCTTCAGAGTTCCTGGCCAGCCCTGGCCCCATTTCCTACAGAGGCTGTTTCAAATCTTCACACTTTTCTCAAATTCCCTTCCCCACTCCTGCCCTGTTCACTCTTAACAGATGACCACATTCCATGCGTCACAGGAGGAAAAAGATTAGGCAGGAAGGTAGGAGCACCACCATTTCAAGTGTTTCCTCCCACTCTCTCTCAAACACATCACATCTACACACACCTCTGTCATGGAGAGAACGTGCTCTCACTCTGCTTTACTGCCACAGCATACCACTGTCCCCAGGCCAGGGAAAAAAAGGACTGGAGAATCCATTATGATGCAACCAGGAGCTCAATCCCTGGTTCTAGTGAATCAGAAAAGTGATGGGAAAGAAGCCAGATTGTGGGGTAAAGAGGAGATGCCACGTCAAATTCATTATGAAAAGATAAGGTAATTACAAGTAAATATAAGTATTTATTTTAAGTGGGGACAGCCAGCACAGATGTCTTATTTTTAATCCCATATAATAAAAGCTCAGCGACCGAACGGCGGAACAACCAGAATGACTGGTCAACCAGTCGCTATGACGTACACTAACCACCAGGGGGCAGATGCTCAATGCAGGATGCTCACTCCCATAGTGCGAGTGCTGCTGGGCTGGCCGGGATGAGTGGCGCTCCCACAGAGGGAGCAACCGCTCAGAGGGCGGGTCCACAGCCGCTCAGCTGACCAGGATGAGCGGTGCTCCCACAGCGGGGCAATCCATACAGGCCACGCCCCACCAGTGCATGAATCCCGTGCACTGGGCCTCTAGTTATAATATAACTAACATAAGGTAAAGTATACATATTAAAAATGTACAAGTTTTAATATGTGAATAAATTCATGAAACCATCACCACATTCAAGGTAATGAACATGTATGTGCATCACCTCCAAGTTTCCTCCTGCCCGTTTATCTATTCCTCCCAGCATTCCTCACCTCAGGGGTGCACTCAGATGAAAGCCTTTACCTTCGCTGAACTGACTGGGTTCAGACTACTGTTCTCCCTCCTCAGGATGTGCCAATACCTCCAAGATCTCCAGTTTCAGCTCTATTGCTTTGCCCACAACTCATAATCCTGCCTCTAAACACAACTTCCTCCGTGTAGATCAAGTCCAACATCCTGAATATGACCTTGTAGGGCCCTTCAAATCTGGATCCTGCCTACCCCCAAGCCTATTTCTTGCTGTGCTCCCACACAGCTAAAGTACGTGCCAGGGGCCAAATGTGCTATGTTCCCAATTCCATCCCAGTGTCTTTTCACAAGCTGTTTTCTTAGTATGGAACAAACAACCCTAGACCTGCCCCAGCCCCAGGAAACTCCTACTCATCCTTCTAGACCAGTGGTTCTCATCCAGGGGCAATTTTGCCCTTCACGGAAAAATGGCAATGTCTGGAGACATTTTTGCTTGTCAAAGTTAGGTGGCAGGGGGAATGCTACTGATATCTAGTGGGTAGACAGCAGCCAGGGCTGCTGCTAAATGTCCTACAATGTATAGGATGACCCGCAACAGAATTACCTAGCCCAAAATGTCAACAGTAAAGAGAATGAGAAGCCCTGATCTAGATTAAAACTCTAGTATCCCATTTTCTGAGAAAACCTTCCCTGGCTGTCCCCCAACAATGAGTCCCTGGCTTTGCTGTCAGATCTACCCTAATACCACCAATGTACTTCTATTTCAGCATTAATCTCACTGTGTGACGGGTTCTGATTTACTGGTCTGCTCTACTAAATAACTGCTTCAGAAGCAGAGGCCATCTTTTTCATCTGTATGTCTGCAGTGTGTAACAAAAGTGCTCATTCACGGGGACTCTTTCCCCCTCCCCACCTGGGAGTCTGTACTTGTTCTTTAATAAATCTCCACCTTTGCTAGAAAAAAAAAAAAAGTGCTCATTCACGGTTTTGTAATAAAATTTTAAGTAACTTATCTACACTAATAAAAGAGAAACATGGTAATTAGCGTACGACCGCTACCCTTCCCATTGGCTAATCAGCATATCCTTATGCAAATTAACTGTCAGCCAAGATGGCAGCCGGCAGCCATGCACTGAAGCGAACAGGGAGGCTTGCTTGCTCCAGTGACTGGCGAACTCCAACGTTCCCCGCCTAACTTGCCGGCCTCTCAGCTGCAACTCTAAGCAACTATGT